TCGGAGTGTGGGGGGGGGAACCCCCGGGTTCCGGAGGAAGAGGGCGGCAATTTTCCACAGTAAAGCGGCGGTGGATCACGCTCTCTCGCAGAAAATGATCCAGGACCTTCCGCCGTCCCGACCTGAACGGTCTGGGAAAATCAAAAAAACTCTGAGAGGCGAACCCCGCACGCGTCCACAGGGATGCGTCCTTACCGTATCCTCGAAGGGAATCCGGACGAGGCGACGAGAAGCCCCCCCCCGCATATTAGATGCTCGTTCTGGGGACCTTCCGGAAGCCATGCGCTCCACTTCTGCGTTCATGCTGCGTCGGCTTTCCGTCGGCATTGAATCCGAACTTGAGTCGAATTTTGCTTGAACTCGAGTCGAGCTAGAGTCAACCTACAGTCGACGGGTACGGTCAGAAACTTTTGCTCCGCGCGTCGCAGCAGCGGCCCAGGAGACACACCATGCCCTGCAATCGGATGCCGGGTCGCTCCGTTCCGCGGGGCGGGAGGCTCGGAGCAGCTCGGGACGTTGACGGTCAGAGACTGGGGCGTGGTCAGGGTGCCTGGCCGAGGCGCGGTAGGCCAGAACCGGCGGCGCGACACGCTGAGCCAAAGATCTCGACCGCATTCCAACTACACCCTGCGAAATGCTTAAGAAATCATGGGTTAAGAAATTCATAGTCTCAGAACTTGCATAACAGCCCAACATCTGTTTTATCCAAATCTTAGGAGTTACATTTCGGGGATGGACAGACCTCCCTTTAGTAAAACGTGGTTTAGTGAAAACGACTTCGGGCCCAAACCTGGCGGGCGCAAGCCTGGAAAATAACGGCCACGGCGCCCTCTCGAAAACCGAAAACGGACAATTCACTAATCGACGTGTCACTATTGGGGGTTCTGTCCACCCCCGAACATTGAAACGTTAAGAATAATCGAGACTCTGGCCGAAAACTTAGGTTTTCTGAAGCATCGCCCAAGGTGTAGAGCCGAAGAAAAGGTCCGGCACGCGGGCCCGTGGAGGGTCCCCCCGAGCTGCTGCCAGGCCCGGCAGAGGCTCCGGGCGGAGCGCAGAGAGCCCCCTCAGGTGGCCCCCGCTGGGCTCTCAGAAGGCCTCCCACCAGGGCACTTCTCCAGCTGGCCTCCGCAGGCCCCTCCGACGAGTCCAGGCCGGATTCGTAGGGGGCCACATGCGAACCCTGCCCCTACCCCCCAGGATTTCTGAGGGGGAGGGGTGGGGTTCACCTCGTTCGGGAGCTCCCGAGCGAAGGAACCCCACCCGCCCCCTCCGAAATCGTGGGGGGTAGGGGGTAGGGTTCGCATGTGGCCCCCTAATTCAGCGCCGCCTGGGGCGCGGAGCGCCCCAGGGGGCGCCGCCAGAGGCGGCGCCGGGGTGCTGAGACCGCCCTCGGCTGCTCCGGGGGGCCTGGTGAGGCCTGGCGGGACTGCCTGATGGGGGGGGCCTGTCGAGGCCAACGGGGACTACTCCAGGGGGCCGCCTGCGAGAGCAGAACATCCACCCTCATCACAGGCTTCCCGACCAGCGAAGCCGTTCCGTCAACGCACCCCTGGAAGGAATCGAGCAGGGCAGGGCTGTCCAGCAAACGCCCAGGGCCGCTCGGGAAACGCCTGCTGTCGGGGTCTGACTACCTACCAGACCACCCCAACCCAACCCGAAGACCGAAATTTCGGGTTGGGGGGGGTAGGGGCTCCATATATACATATATGCATATTTACATATATACAAGTGGCACGTGTGTGCCCAGGCTCATACAAAAAACTGAAGGGGCGTTTGAAGCAGGAGTGAAATGCAACATCGAAGTCGCACTCGAGCGCAAGTGGGGTTGCCACACCTTGCGATGTGTGTACCAGGACCCCCCAGGAAGCCTCAGGAGGCCCGACTTGGATACCAGAAGAGGCTCCAGGAGGCCCCAGGATTGTGAGTGTTGTTCGTGTGTGTGTGTGTGTGATGTATGCTTTGTGTGGTGCTTGCTTTTTGTGTGTTGTAGGTGTTGTGTGTGTGTTATGCTTGTCTAGCGTGTGATGTGTTGGGCGTGATTTGTGTCTCTGTGTGCATGTAGTTCTGAAGCCCCAGGAGGCCCCAGGAAGCCCCAGGCGGCCTCAGGAGGCCCCAGGAGACACCAGGAGGCTTCAGGAGGCCCCAAGAGGCTCCAGGAGGCCGCAGGAGGCCCCAGGAGGCCCCAGGAGGTTTCAGGAGACCCCCAGGAGGCTCCGAGGCGGGGTCTGGGGTGCCAGAAGGTTCAGAAAGCCCCAGGAGGCCCCAGGAGGTTCCAGGAGGCCCCCAGGAGGCTCCGAGGCGGGGTCTGGGGCTCGATTCTGGAAGGATTTTTCAAGCGAAACCGCCATTCCCTGAGAATCGGGGTCACCATTATTGAAATTACCGTGTGTTTTTGAAGGTTTTATGTTAAAATGTTGAAATTCCCATGTGTTTTTGGACCCTGACGTCACGATCTGCGTGAGGGGTGCCACCGATTTTCAGAATTTCGAGGATGTCCCGAGCGAAACGCCCAGACAAATCGCGGACGCGTGCGCATGAATCGCCTCTGAGCTCTACTCCCTCGGAGAGGTGCTTATGAGAATATATATATATATATATATGTATGTTCTTCCCATGCTCCCCCCCCACACACACTGGAAGTGGCGGGCAAATGGAGGCCTTCGGGTCGGGCTGGAGGTTGGTTTGGCGGGTGGTGATTCTCGGGGCGGCTCCTCCCCCCCCCTTCGGACGTCTGCGCTCCGCCCGAAAGCCATTGCCCCCGAGCGGGCGCGGGGCCTCCCCGCGGCGGGCACGCCGCGCAGCTCCGTGGTGAGGCGCAGGTCGAGGCGCTCGGCCCCGCCGGGTTCGAGGCAGAGGCCCGCGGGCGCGCAGCTCACCTCGGCGGCTCGGCGGCGGGCCCCCCCCCCGAGGGATGCGGGGCCCCGAGGGCGGGGAGCCTCCTGGGCCTCACCGGGGAGGTGTCGACCGACCCCGATCCCCGGCTTTTCGTCGAAAGGAGCCGCTCAGAACGGGCGGGAATTTATGGGATACACCCCCAGGGGGCTACTTACTCGGACGCACCCCTCATCGAGGCTTTTGACGCCCCCCCGTCGTGTATCCCAGGGTTGTGCCCCAAATTTCTAGCCCCGTCGAAGACCTCACACCTATCCCAGGCTGTGTGAGGTCTTCGACTGGGCCAGAAATTTGGGGCCCGACCCTGGGAGACACGACGGGGGAGCGTCAAAAGCCTCGATGAGGGGTGCGTCCGAGTAAGTCGCCCCCTGGGCGTGTATCCCATAAAGTCCCGCCTGTTCTGAGCGGCTCCCTTCGACGAAAAGCCGGGGGTGGGGGAAGAAGAATCGCCTGCGACCTCCCTGGGCAAGCCGCCAAATTCGTAGCCCCTTGGGCGATCTTGGACCCTTCTTGGCCGACTTGAGGCCTTCTTGGGGGCCTCCTGGACTGTCTTAGAGCTGTCTTGGAGGCCTCCTGGCGGACGCCTGGGCCGTTTTAGACGATCGGGAACCCGAACAGGCGAGAGCCTCAAAATCCGTCAACAGCGTAAGACAAATCAATAGTGTTGGGCCCCTCGGGCTCTCCAGGAAGGCCTCTTGGAGCCTCCAGCAGTGTGAGCTCAACCTGGGATCCCTTCCTTCAAATTTCTGGACTGGTGGCTGGGGCATTGATGGTTGAGCGGATGTGCGGCAACAGTTCGGGACATCAAGGTGTGATGCCGAAACTCACAGCCACCATTTGGCAGATTCCAGAAACCCTGAACCAAAAAACGTTGTGATCTCTTGGGTGCGCGACTTTTCCTTCCGCCGGCTCCTGCCGCCCTTCCACCAACTTCCGCCGCCGGAAGCGGCCTCGTTTTACTTCCGCCAACCTTCCGCCGCCTTCCGCGGAGGAAAAGGTTAACAACGCATTCGATCCTCAAAAGCAAGGCAAGGCCCTTTATGGAACGCCCCTTTTCGTGATCTCACATGTGCGAACGGTCTGCAGACCTGGCCAACCACCATGTAGATTACGAAATGGCGGTCATGCCTGCCTGGATTATGAGCGTGTAGCTGCGCAGGCAAGCAACAGTCACCACCATCGCACTGGCCACCAAGTCGTGCATCCCAGTTTCCCTATCCCCCTAGACCCCCGATATCTCAAGGCTCCATCCTTGAACCGCCGATGACCCGCAGCTCCGCAGCATCGGCGCCAGCGCAGAGCACCCCGCCGAGCGAGAAGACGCACGGCTCCTGCACGTCTCCTCCTCCTTCTCCTCCTCCTCCTCCTGCAGAGGAGCTCCAACTCCTCTTCCTCCGCCTCCTCCTCCTCCTCCTCCTCCTCTTCCTCATGCTCCTCCTGCTCCTCCTCCTCCTCCTCCTCCTCCTCCTCGTCCTCCTCCTCCTCCTCCTCCTCCTCGTCCTCCTCCCTCCTCCCTCCGTCCTCCTCCTCCCTTCCCTCCTCCTCCTCCTCCTCCTCCACCTCCTCCTGCTTCTCCATTCTCTCCTCCAGAGGAGCACCTCATTGTCATCCTCCTCCCTCCTCCTCCTCTCTTCCTCCTCCCTCCTCCTCCCCTCCTCTCCTCCTCCTCCTCCTCCTCCTCCTCCTCCTCCTCCTCCTCCTCCTCCTCCTCCTCCTCCTCCTCCTCCTCCTCCTCCTCCCTCCTCCCCCTTCGCTCCTCCTCTCCTCCTCCTCCTCCTCCTCTCCTCCCTCCTCCTCCTCCTCCTCCTCCTCCTCTCCTCCTCCTCCTCCTCCCTCCTCTCTCCTCCTCCCACCTCGTCCTCCTCCTCTCCTGCAGAGGAGCTCCTCCTCCTCCTCCTCCTCCTCCTCGTCCTCCTCCTACTACTCCTTCTCTATCTCTCTTGGCTCCGAGCCTCCATGGCTCTCCATGTGGCAAGTCTTGCACTTGACACTCGAGGGTCAAGCGGGGGGGCCGATTATTGTTGGCCATTGCCCCGGATGCCCCGCGCGGAACGTCCCCGCGCGACCGCGTATATCCACGGGAGTGCGCCCCAGAGTGCAGACCGCGAGGGCGCGGATGCTGATGTGTGTGCGTCGCTCGTGGCGGGCACCTCCCGGGTTCAGGAGCCAGGGCCGGAGCAGAACCTACCGGCCGTCAGGGGAGCTCCTCCTCCTCGCCATCGCTCGGACGTCCATTTCCCGTGCATTTGTCGGTTTCGGGCGTGTTTTTTGTTGCTCGATGGTCCAGGATGGTCCTCGATGGTTCTCGTCGAGAAAAAATGCACACGTCTGAGCGATGCCAAGCCTCCGCCTCCGCCGACGTGGCTGCTTCGGTCCATGCGATTCTTCACCACTGGGGCCGTGCCGGACCCTGGAGAGCCCCAGACCCCGATCCTGGGCGGCAGCTGCAGTCGGCGGGCTGACAGAAGGACCGCCAGGTAAGGCATGGAGCTCCTGTGTTGCCAGAGAAGCGACTGGGTGCACGAGGAGCGCCAGAGGAACAACCATAGGAGCACCCAAGGAGCAGCCGACCCCCTCCGAACCCAGCCTGTTCCTTACTTCGGCGTCTTGACTGCATCCCCGGGGAAGGGGCCGAGATCCAGTGGGTCCCGCGGGCTAAAGAGTAACACCGCCAGATGTCTGGGCCCCCCTACGCCGTTGCGTCGCTGTGCAGTCCGAGGGTGCCAGCACCACTGGGCCAGCACACCCGGGCGAGCGCGTGCGTGCGCTGCCGCTGCTTCTCCTCCAGCTGCCCCTCCTGCTCCTGCTCGTGCTCCCCGTCCTCCAGAGCCGCCTCGAGGGTCGTGGGCGGAGGTCTCGGCACGATCGCGGCACTTCTTGGGCCTCCAGAAGACCCATGGAGGACGGGGTTGGATGTTGGATGAAGGATGACCAGCGCCTTAGATAAGTCGGAACTCGAACGCACCAGTGCGGGGGGGATTGGCCCGAAGCGAATCCCCCCCCCAAAAAACTTTAGCAACCTCCTCCGTGGCCCCATTCACTCTGGCGACCAAGGCCGCCATTCTCTGCCCATGGGCGGGGGCTGGGGGAGCAGACGAGAAAGCCCGATGGACTGTGGTGAGACTCGCATGTGGAGTAGCAGAGTCCAATGACGGGGAACACAGCGACCCCATTCCCCGACTTTGGGGGGTTCGTCGACTGGACGGGACATTTTGGGCCCAATCCTGGGAAATATACCATGGGGGGCGTCCATCCTCGATAGGGGCGCGTCCCCCGTGGGGGTGTATCCCGAGGTTTCCCCCAGTTTCTGAAGGAGGAGGACGACGACGACGACGACAAGGAGGAGGATGAGGAGAAGAAGGAGCGAGGAGGTGGATGTGGAATTGGTAGTGGCGGTGGTGGAGGAGGAGGGGGAGGAGGATAGAGGGAGGAGGAGGGGCAGAAGGAGGAGGAGGATAGAGGGGGAGGAGGGGGGGGAGGAGGAGGAGGAGGAGGGGCAGAAGGAGGAGGAGGATAGAGGGAGGAGGAGGGGGAGGAGGAGGAGGAGGAGGAGGAGGAGGAGGAGAAGGAGAAGCAGAAAGAGGAGGAGGAGGAGGAGGAGGAAGAGGAGAGGGAGGAAGAGGAGAGGGAGGAGGAGGAGGAGGAGGAGGAGGAGGAGAAGGAGCGAGGAGGTGAATGTGGAATTGGTAGTGGCGGTGGTGGAGGAAGAAGAGGAGGAGGAAGAAGAGGAGGAGGAGGAGGAGGAGGATTCAGGAGGAGGATCCAGGAGGAGGAGGAGGAGGAGGAGGAGGAGGAGGAGGAGAGGGAAGAAGAGGAGAGGGAGGGGGAGGAGCAGGAAGACGGGGACCTGCGGAGACCCGCGGCGCCGGAGGCGCCGCCGATCCCGGAAGCCCGCGCGGAGCTCCGAGGGTTTGTGCGCGTGCACTCTGCGCACCGTTCCACCGATGCCCACCCCTGTCGGCGTGGCCATAGCCCCACTGGCCGACTGCGGGGCCAAGCGCGGGCCGACTTGCCCACCCGGGTGGGGGGATACGGTCCCAGGGCAAGGGTGCACAGGCCCCCACCCCCAACAGATGGGATGGGCCCCAGGGTTCCACAGCCCCCCCCCCAGATGGGATGGGGGAGACGACGACGACGACGACGACGACGACGACGACGACGACGACGACGACGACGTCCACGACGACGCCGACGCCGACGCCGAAGCCGACGCCGAAGCAGACGACGACGACGTCGACGAAGACGCCGACGCCGACGCCGAGGCCGACGCCGAGGCCGACGCCGAGGCCGAGGCCGACGCCGACGCCGACGCGCCGACGCCGACGCCGACGCCGACGACGACGGTGCCGACGCCGATGCCGACGCTGACAGAAGACGACGTCGACGAAGACGACGACGACGACGATGACGCAGACGCCGACGACGGAAGACGGAAGACGCCGACGACGTACCACCCCACACCCACATGGAGGGGTGAGGAGAACCGGGGCACCCTCCACCACGCCGCGCCTACAGAGCCACGACCACACCACAGGGGAAGGGCGGGGAGCGATCCCATTCGTGAGGCCTTCGCGAGGCTCGCGGGCGTACCCATCCAAGGGAGGG